GGCATTCTGCCAGCCCACTTCTCCAGAAAGGGGATTCTACCAGTGCACACACAGGGGCTTCCATGATTTCCCATGTTGGAGTTCATGCAACCACCAAAAAGAGGGTCCAGAGAGCACTCCAGACTTGAGTCTGGACGCCCATTCAAGATGACATCCACACCCAACCCCCCTCCGGATCTGGGGATGTATGAGCCTGTGCTCCTGGTGCCCTGCGGGGCTGAGTCATGGCACTGCCACGATCTGTCAAGAGGCAGATGGAGCTCGAGAAAGAGGACTCTAGTGGTGAGGTTGGGGGGTGGAGGGCTTGCCTTAATTGGGGGTGGAACCAATGTATAAATTCTCCACTGCCCCACTTTGGACCCCCAAACTCTCACCGAGGGGGTCGCTGCCTGGGTCCAGGAGCGGGTGGAAGCAGCGGGACTGGGGTCTCTCTCTGGCCGGCGGTCTCTCTGCGGATTTGGATCTTCACCTCCCCTAATCCCTTTGCTCCGTGTCCCTGGACGTGTACTGCGAGCGGGTATCTCCGCGCGCCCCCTGCTGGACGATGAAAGAGCCACAGGCTAAGTGTGCGCTCCGAATCCGGATCTGCCTCCGGGACTTGTCCCAGAACGGAGCAAAGTCGCCGCCTGCGCCACTACCGTGGCGCCAGGTAGCATTTCATGCTTATTGAGCGCCTCGAAATGCGGGCGCCAGGTCGACCGACCACAGGCTACGAGTGAGGTCTGCGCCTTCCCCGGGGGGTTGGGTCCAGGCCGCCATCCCCGTCCTCCACCCGCGCAGCCGAGCACGTTGGAGACCGCCGCCTGGCAGACAGGAACTTGGCGGAAAAGTTGAGGACTCGGAATTATTCTCATTTGCCCTCCGCGGGCTTGCCCATGATCATGTCAGGGCCTCCTAACACCAATCCGCGTTTTAACTCCCAACATCTTTGGCTTTCCATTCCTGCCGAGGAAACAGGGATGAAGTGGCTTGCCCAAGGTCACACAGCCAGAGGGGAAGAATTGGAGTTAAAAACCAGGTCTCCTGGGCTCCAGACCAGTGGGTGAAATTCAGATTGTGTCCCTGCCCATTTACTCTTTGTGTGCACCGGGGCCAGCGATCAGGCCTCCCTGTGCCTCAGTTTCTTCATCAGCACACAGGGCTGAATAAGATCTCCCCGCCTGGGGCTGTGGTAAGGCTGAGATGGCTGACATCAGGGCTGGGCAAGAAGGAGCTGGTGTTTTGAGAACTGCACTTCCTCAAAACGACTTCAGCAGAAAGGGGGCGCCCCTCACATCACAAACCCAGGCTCTGGCTGCCAAGGTGCCCCTTCTTTCACCAGTAACAGATTGACTGCAGGTCTGGGGGAGCCACAGACTGGCAGGGTGGGGACAGTTTGGGGGGCACCTGGGCCCACTGTTTTCACTCCTGAGTAAAAGCTCAAATCCAGCCTTTGCCCTTGACTTGCAGTGTGACCTTGGGAAAGGACTTTACCATCTGAGTCTTAGTTTTCTCATCTGTAGCAGGGCTATTCATTCCACGTTGATTGAGGATCTTTAGGCTGTGACTGAAGATCAGTCTCTGCCTCCAGCAGTTCTCAGACTAGGGGCTGAGGAAGAAATAGCAAGTAAAGGGATATGATAATTCCAGATGGCGACCCACAGGACATGAAGAAAAGAGGGACCCTGGGGACAGGGAAGCCCTCTCGGAGGAGATGACATTTGAGCAGAGGCCTAAATGAAGTGAGAGGGGGTGGTATGTGGATGCCTGAAGGATGAGGGTGATAAGCAGAGGGAACAGCCAGTGCAAAGATTCTGAGGTGGGAGTGTCTCTGACATGTTAAGAGAAAAATTCGGGAGGCAAATGTGGCCAGGGCAGAGTGGGCAAGGGGTGAGTGAAGGGAAATGAGGGTGGGAGGTGATGGGGTGGCTCATGTAGGGCGTTGTGGGCCATGGTCAAGGTTGGCTTTAGGCCTGCATTTACATCTAACTTCCTAGGAAGAGACAAAGTTCACTGGCCTGGAAAGAAAGTCCACTGGCTCCCAGTCCATGGAGCCAGACAACTGGATTTATAACCCAGGTCTGCTTCTTTTGAGCTGGGTGGCCCTGGCCAAGTTACTTCTCTTCTCTGAGTCTTGACCTACCCATCTCTGAAATGGGCCTGTAAGGAACCTAATTCCCAAAGTCTGATGTGAAGGAACAGCAAAACAATTCAGGGACATCTAAGGGCAGGTAAAACGTGAGTGGCTTTCATTTCTGTTTGTACTTGAACCAAGGGATCCTGGTGGCTGGTGATGAGTCTTGACCAGTTTAGAGCACAAGTTGTCACCCCGGAGCAACTCTGTTCCCCAGGGGGTAGGTGGCAGTGGCTGGAGACATTTTAGTTGTCATGACTGAGGGGCTGCTACTGTCATCTTGTAGGAAGAGGCCAGGGATTCTGCTACTGCTAAGAGCACACAGGACTGCCCTCAGGACAAAAGATTATCAGGTGCCAAATGTCAATAGTGCCCGGGTTAGGAAACTCTGCATTCCCAACAAAGTGGTGTTACCTCTGAGGGTGCGAAGTTTGGTTCTTGGGGTGGCTGTGCAGGAAAAAACTATGTACAAGGCCCCATATACATATAGTACATAAATATACAGTGTATTTGTGGTATTAACATTTCACGGAGGAGGATTGAGGGGAGGGATGTCTAAAAAGGCTTCTCCTTAGGGAGGTACTAATGAAATACAGGGTGACAAACGCTGGTCTAGAGCCTGGATCAGCCACTCCCAGGCTGTGTGACTTTGAGCAGGTTGTGTCTCTCTAAGTCTCAGTTTTTCCAGCCTGTAAAGTGGGGACAACACTTTGCAGGCATTTTGTGAAGATTGAATGAGATCGTAGCTCGAGGTGCCAAGTCTCAGGAAGCACTCTGAAGGTTTGCTGCTGTAATTGTCATCATTGTCATCATCTGTGTCCTCTGAGTAGTACAGGGGCTGGCACATTACAAGCTCTTCACAAATGTTTTGTTAAATAAGTTATAAATAACAACTCACATTCGGTGAGTGCTCACTACGTCCAGGCACTTTTCTGAGCCATTTATGTGTCCATCCATGAGATGTATAGTATGAAACCCATTTTACAAGTGGGAAAATAGGTTTGGTGAAACGAAATGACTGTCCCAAGGTCAAATGACTAGGCACCAGAGGCCAGACTTGGGCCTGGGCCATCCAACTCTGGTCCCATGATAGTGGAGCCAACAGGTAGAAAAGTATTTACAGAGGTGGTCCCCTTACACAGAGATTGGCCCATGTTTCTTATTTAAAACAAGCTTTTCCCCCTTTCCTAGCCCCTAAAAGGCACAGACAGGTTGGAGTAAGCTCCAGAATTATAACCAGGTAGCTGACTTTGTTCAAGGGTGTTCACCTCTCTGAATCCCAGTTTCCTCATCTGTGAAGAGGGGCAGTATGCCCCCCCCCCCAGAGTCACAGTGGTTGTGCATGCAGAGCCACGGGGGGGGGGGCGGGGGGAACCACAGGGGTGGTGGTCCGGGGCCCAAGAAGTCCTCATGCCGGTGCAGACTGCGCCTGCGTGGGAGTCAGCACTGAGGGGACATTGGGTCTTGGGGTCCTCTCATGAGAGGTGCCTCAGAGATTCAAAGGAGTGTCTCGGGGAGGTGAGCACACTCAGATTGCCCAGGGGTGTCTGAGTTGTAAGGCATGTCTCAGAAGCTGAGGTGGGTACTCCACCAGGGTGTTATCAAGGATTTGTGGGTGCATCTTGGATTCTGGGAGTAGCCTAGGGTTGTAGAACTCCTAGGTCAGGAGTTGTTGTGCCCCTGGGATTTATGGGGCACCCCAGGATTTGGGGGGCATCTCCATGTTATGGGAGATGCGTCTCAAGGTGCCCCTGAGATTATGTTGGGAATCTCTGCATTTGCGGAGCCACCAGGGACCAGGGTAACTCTGAGAGAATGTGAGAACACCTGGGGATCTGTGAAGGACCCTAGGGTTCGGGGGTCCTCATGCCCATGTCTGCGTGTGTGGTTTGTGGCTGTGGGAGATTCCAGCAGCACTCTGAGTGGTCTCTGCATGACTGAGGGGTGCTGGAAGTACTCTAGGGGACATGGGGGACATCCGTGGGGCCGTAGCAGTGCTCCTGGGACCCAGATGCAGGGGTTTCTTATGGTTCTCAGAGCACCCCTGTGATTTGTAGGTGCATCCTGGAATTTTGGGGTGCCCTTGAGGTTTGTGCAGATGTCTCAGTAACAATGAGGACACCACTAAGGGACATCTGGGGTCTGTGGGGACCTTTCAGAACCCGGGATTTGGGGGAGTGTCCTTGGGTTGTGTGAGGGCGCTCTCCGGGATTGTGGGGATGTCTGCAGAACTTTGGGGACCTCCCTGAGGTCTGTGAAGCTTCTCAACACCTCTAGGGGTCGTGAGAATGCCCCACCGATTTGGGGGAGGGTGCCAGGTGTTTGTAGAGACGCTTCCGGACAATGCGAGGACGTCAGAGGGACTGCAGGGGCTCTGGGGTCTGCGGGGTGTCCCCGCTGCTGCCCTGCGGGCGTCCCAGTCCCGCCCCGCCCCAGGGGCGGCCCTAGCGAGAAGCCGGAAGGGCCGAGGCGGCCCGGCGGGGAGGAGCCCGCGGGCCCCAGGGCTGGGCGGCCCGCCTGCATGGGCGGTGTGGGGCGGGCGGGCGGTGCTGCTCCCCAGCGCCCCCCAAGGCCGGGCCGCGCCCCTCCGCCCCCACCCCCGGCTATGGCGCGGCCCCGCCGCCTGGGCTGCATCCCGGAGCTGCAGCTGGCGGCCTTCCCGGCGGCGGTGGCGGAGGACGAGGCGTTCTTGCCGGAGTCCCTGGCCCCGCGCGCGCCCCGCTGGTCACGTTCGCCGCCCTCCTCGCCCGTCTTCTTCGCCAGCCCGTCCCCAACTTCCCGCAGGCGCCTTCGGCTTCTCCGCAGTTTCCAGGATTTCGGCCGCCAGGCGTGGGCCGGGTAAGTGTGCCCAGGTGGCTGAGGGTTCGAGTCTCCCCTGGCCACTTGGAGTGCGTCGATGTCTGGAGTTCGTAGCTGGCTCTGTCCAGCTTTCTTTTCCTCTCCAGTCACAAGACGGTGATAAAATCATCCCTGCCCGCCAGGGTGGCCGTGGAGACATCTGACACAGCATGCAGTAGGCGCTCAATAAACGCTACGCTCCTCCCATTTCCTGGACAGACCCCAGTCTGCGGTCCGGCTTTGAGGGTGTGAGGCCAGTCTGCCACCCAGGGTGATCTGAGGGCACGTGTTCAGTTCTGTTGGCCTCAGTCTACGGCCTGTGAGATGGGTCCAGCGCTGCACTCGGGATTGCTTTGCCCTCAGGCTCGCCCGCTGGGCACCGCGTGCACCTGGCACCGAGGCAAATGGAAGTTCCCTTCCCGGACATGCCCGGGTCGGCGGCAGGGGCGGCAGTGTCCCTTCCTTCTGGAAACGGAGGTCGGCAGCCTGGGTACAGGCTGGCGCTGGGGGTCTCCGGAGTCGGGAGGGGGCCTTCTGCTGGGCCCTTCACCCTCTTCACCCCTGCTCTCCGGACTCACTGGTTTATCACCAGAGTCCGGAGACGCAGACTGCGAGAGGGTGCTCCCGGGGCTGGACGGGAACCTGGCGGAAGAGAGAGGGGCAGAGAGAGAGGAGGAGGAGGGTCGGGGCCTCTGGGAGCCCCGCGTGGGCCCGGGCAGGGAGTGGGGGTAGCAATCAGTTCCTCCCTACGTTTTCTCTCTACGTCTCTGTCCCCTCTTCTGCTCCTCCGGTCTCTGTTCCACCTCTCCTCTCCCAGCTCCACCTCCGGCACCGTTGTCCCTCCCCCGGGCTTTTGTCACCCGACCCCGCACTTCGCCCGGTGCGGCAGTCTTGTCCCTCCTGGAGGCACAAGGCGCTGAGATACTTCCAGAGGGCGCACACAGCTCGGCGGGGACTGGGAGGGGGTGAAGGCGGAGCCAGAGCCGGAGGCAGTGGGTAGGGGTGGGCCCGAAGCTTGGGAAACCGAAGCCCCGGGAACTACCCCACTCCACCCCGCGCCTCCCGGGAGAAGGGAGGCTGGTGGAAAGTGTGCGCAGAGTTCTGCCCAGCCCCACAGGAGGAGGCAGGCTCGGAGCCCGCCCTGGCGCTGCTGCGAACTTGAGGACGCCCATGGCCTGGGGAGTCACCCGGGAGGGCGGGTGTGGAGGCGGTGCCGCTGCGGGCAACCACAGACACCTCAGACCTGGAGAGCGGTGTGCGCAATACCACGGTGCGTGCAGCCGTCCCCATGTGCGCCCGGAGGGCGCTCGGCACCTGTGCGCTCCAGTGCAGCCCGCCGGGCCCTCCCCGGCCCCGGCCCCGGCCCCGGCCCCCTGCCTTAGCACTGTCCTCCTCGGGCCCTGTCCACTTCTCCTTCAACGATGAGGACATCTGTTGGCACCCTCCAGGCAGATCTGTCAGGTGGGTGTCCCGGGACCAGTCCCCTCCTTTTCCACCAAAGGGCTCTGGCTGAGTGGCTGGGGGTGCCCAATCTGCCGTGGGGAGTCTCTAAAGTGGTTTTCGGCATCTGCCTGGAGCCTCCCCCCTTCCCTGGTCCTAAACATCTGGGTGCTTCTGAGGCCTTCCTTCCTGCAGGTGGTGTCTCTGAAAATGGGTGCCGGGTCCTGCCCCTTACTGCCTACCCAAGATGGGATCCCTTCACCCTCTTTGTACCCCTAAACCTGGACTTCTGGCACTCACCCTGGGAGCAACTATGAGTGTCCAGTGTCACCTGGGCTTCGCTCCCGGGCCACAGGCCTCCAGCCAGGTCCTTCAGGCCTTACCCTTCCCTCCTCCTTGCTGGGGCTGCCAGGCTGAACACCAAGCTGGCATGGGTGTGGGGAGATTTCCGCTGGAACTCCTACGGGGTAGAAAGAATATACTGGAGAGCGGTAGGGTGGAGAAGTGGCCTTTAGGCTCTCAGAATTATTGGGGTACTCTAGCAATATTCTTGGTCCCCTCCAGCAGCCCCTTCAAACACCTGGATACACACACTTCATTTATACAGCTACACATGACACAAACACGCACCCACACACAGAGCAGTCAGGATCTCCTGGCTGGTGGGGACACAGAGAACCCCGCAGTTGACCATGGCCCTGGTGGCTCACAGAAGCCCTGGCCGCCTACGGCCCATCTAGGCTGCACTGCCTGCAGGAACACACTCTCCCTGCAACCCGTGCCCAGGCCCGATTCCCACCTGCACATGGCCGCGCACAGGAGCACACCTCACACCCACTCAGGAAGCAGGGACCGTCTCAGCACACGTGTGCGGCCCACAGGCACACTCGCACACACTCCATGGACTCAAAGACACAGATGCACACAGCTCTGTGAACACCCAGACCCCACTCAAACACACAGGTGTGGAAATCCATACAGACCACCTACATGTACATGGGTGCCCCAGAACAGCCTCCTACAGTTAACCCCACTGACAACCGTGTCACCTGGCACCACACACCTGCCCTTAACCTCTGTGTGACCTTCAAAAAACAAATACCAGGCCTTTCCATGAAGGCTGCCTGGCACCTCCTACGAGGGAGTCAGTCAGAGTAGGCAGAGCCCAGGGAGACGCCAGGCCTGCCTGGGGGGAGACAGACCCCAGTGACTGAATGTGCAGATTTGCGGGGCTCCCCCGGTTTGCACCCTTGTTCTGCCACTAGCTACGTTCGTTATTAATCCTCTCTGTGTTTCCGTCTGTCTATCTTTCTGGAAAATGGGGACGAGTGTGTGTCCAGGCATAGCACAGTGCCTAATGTGTGGCATTCCAGAGCAGCTGGCTACTTTCATTGTTTTTTTTTACCAACTGAGACATGTCTCCTCTCACTGCCACTCCCCAACCCTCACCCCAGCTTGTTCATTTCCCCCGCGGCCCCGCAGCAGAACTCTCTGAGTCCTGGTTCTGCCCCTGGGCTGCACAGTCCTCCAGAGGCCCAATTTGATGCTCAAAAGCCCAGGCAGACAGGACTAGAGGGGTCGTGGCAGATAGCAACTTGACCTGAGAACGCTACCAAGTGGTCGGCCTATTCCAGGGAGAGTCTTGTGCAGGTCATGTCCCCTCTTGTGGAGTGCCTGGACATGTGGCTGTGACATCAGGGCTTCTTGGCTGTCCTTGACTCTAGTTTGTGGCTTTGGGTCCCACTGGGACATTTCTAGTGTAGCCTCTAGCCTGATTTTGGGCCATCCTGAGCTTCAGGCCAGGAAGAGGTGACTCTCACAGCCTGGGGTCCAATTCTGGGGAGTAGCTGAGACCCCCTCACTTTTAGGCTGCAATTCAACAGGCCAAATCTCCTCCCGTCTCCTCTTCCGCAGCCTAGGGGACGTGTCTCCTGGAAGCTACAAACAGTGGGGCCCCAGGGAGCTTCTTCCCATCCCTGCCTCTGGGCTCCTGCTTACAGCGAGTTGAGTCCCCTAGGGCTGCAGTATCTGCTCCAGATGCTACTTGTTTGCCTTCTGGGACTCGGGTCTCGCCTTCCCTTAACTGCACTTCAGTTCCTGGGGCAGGGGAGGGGTCCTCTCTACACTGATAGCTCCACTCCCCTAAACAGTGGCATTCAGAAGAACCCCAAAATCCAGGCTGGACCTTGGGAGACAGGATAGGATTTTTAGCCCATGAGGCTACCGACCCCTTGTTGCCCTTCTGTGCCTGTCTTCTCAGTGAACCAAGATGTTAACAGAACCCAGCTGACAGAGTCGGTGGGAGACATACTGGGCTCATGTGCGTAAAGCACTCGATAAGGCCATGCCAGGTGCTCAGTAAGTGTGTTGTTATCACTCTACACCTGAAAGGGTTAACCTGGCACCCAGCACATAGCAGGGCATTATCTTCAAAGGCTCAAGCTCTTGATTAGGTATTCCATCTTAAGAATGTGTTTTTTTAAGTGTCTTTCAAAGATGAACATATTAAAGTCTCCCTTTTCATTACACATTTGTATGAAGTTTTTACTGTGGTAATATATAAGTAATATAAAATTTCCATTTTAATCATTTTCGAATGTACGATTCCTATCAACTCACAATGTTGTGAAGCCATCACAACCATCCACCCCAGAACTTTTTCACCTTCAAAACCCCAAACTGTCCCTATTAAAAACTAACTCCCCTTTCCCCTCCCCTGCCACTCTCCATTCTGGTTGCTGTCTCTATGAATCCGACTCCTCTAGGGATCTCATATGCGTAGAATTGCACCAGCCCACAACAGATTGCATCATTTGTTGAAAAGACTCCCATTGAATCTTTCCCATTGAATGGTCCTGGTACACATGTCAAAAATATTTTGACTGTATATATGAGGGTTTATTTCTGGGTTCTCTAATGGATTCCATTGGTCTCTGTGTCCTTTTTCATTTGGTTTATTTCATTTACCATGTTTTCAAGGTTCATCCATATTGTAGCATGTGTCAGAATTTCCTTTGTATTTAAGACTGAATAATATTCCTTTGTATGTATATCCACCACTCTATCCAGTCACCCACTGGTGGACCATGAGTTATTTCCACCTTCTGGCTATTGTGAATAATGCTTCTATGGACATTGTGTACAAGTAATCAAGTCTTTGCTTTCAATTCTTTAAAGTGTATATATACCTAGAAGTAGAACTGCTGGATCACATGATGCAGTCGAACCTTGGTTCTTGACTGTCTCCCGTCTTGAATCATCTTGAACAATTTGGTTCTTGAACAGCCTTCCAGAACAAATTAACTTTGAGAACCAAAGTTCCACTGTAATTCTATACTTATATTTCTTTTTTTAATTTTATTTATTTTTAGAGAGAGAGAGGAAGGGAAGGAGAAAGAGAGAGAGAGAAACATCAATGTGTGGTTGCCTCTCACATGGCCCCACTGCGGACCTGGCCTGCAACCCAGGCATGTGCCCTGATGGGGAATCGAACCAGCAACTCTTTGGTTCACAACCCATGCTCAATCCATTGAGCTACACCAGCCAGGATTTTTCTGTTTTTTTTTTTTAAGATTTTATTTATTGCCCTGGTGTGGCTTGGTGGATTGGGTATCATCCCACAAACCAAAAGGTTGCCGGTTTGATTCTTGGTCAGGGCACATGCCTGGGTTGTGGGCCAGGTCCCCCACTGGAAGCATGCAAGAGGCAACCGATTGATATTTCTCTCTCACGTCAATATTTCCCTCTCTCTTTCTTCCTCCCTTCCCCTCTCTCTAAGTAAATGCTTTTTTTAAATGGACCTGATTTTTAATATTAGTTTTTGTATCCTGATATTTTACTGAATTCACTTATCAGTTCTAATAGTTCTGTGGAATCTCTAGGGTTCTCTATAGTATTGTGTCATCTGCTAATAACAGATTTACTTCTTCCTTTTCAATTTCCTTTTATTTCTTTTTCTTGTCTGATTGCTGTGGCTAGGACTTTTAATACCATGTTGAATAAAAGTCATGATAATGGACATCTCTATCTTGTTCTTGATCTTAAGGAAAACACTTTTAGCTTTTCATCACTGAGTATAATATTAGCTGTGAGCTTGTCATATATGGCTTTATTATGTTGAGATAAGTTTCATTTCCACTTTGCTGAGAGTTTTCATCATAAATAGATGCTGGATTTTGTAAAATACTTTTACTGCATCTATTGAAAAGATCATATGATTTTTATCCTTCATTTTGTTTATGTGGTATATCATGTCAGTTTGTGTATATTGAACCTACCTTGCATCCCAGGAATAGCTCCCACTCGATCATGGTGTATGCTCTTTGTAATGTATTGCTGAATTGGGTTTGCAGATATTTTCTGGAGGATTTTTGCATCTATGTTCATCAGGGATAATGGCCTATAGTTCTCTCTCTATCAATGTCTTTGGTTTTAGAATTAGAGTAATACTGTCCTCATAAAATGAGCCTGGGAGACTTCTCTCCTCTAGAATTTTTTTGGAATAGTTTGAGAAAAATGTTTGAATGTTGGGTGAAATTTACCTGTGAAGCCAGGAGTCCAGGACTTTTGTGTGTTGAGAGGTTTTTTTTTTTTTTTTTCTGATTCAGTTTCATTAGTAGTTACTGATCTGCTTAGACTTTCGTTTCCTCTTGACTCAGTCTTGGAAGATTGTGTATTTCTAGCAATTTATCCATTTCTTCCAGATTGTCCAATTTGTTGGCATATGATTGTTCATAGTATTTTCTTGTAATCTTTTGTGTTCTGTGGCATCAATTGTCACTTCTTTTATTTTTTATTTTATTTTGGGAGGCCCTTTTTTTCTTGATGAGTGTGGTTAAAGGTTTATCATTTTTATGTATCTTTTCAAAATACCAGCTCTTGGTTTGATCTGATATTTTGTATTTTTTTTAGACTCTTTTGTTTATTTCCACTCTGATCTTTATTATTTCCTTCTTTCTACTCACTTTGGGCTTTGTTTGTCCTTATTTTTCTAGTTCCTTTAGGTATAAGGTTAGATTGTT